TATATAGGATGACCTTTAAGTTTCACAACTCTTAATTGGCAGAAGGTAACCAGTGAGCACCACTTAGTACAACATTCTCAGGCTCACGCCTCTCCCTTTCATTACAAAGTGTACTGTTTGAAGCCCCGTTTCTCTACAGCTAATCACAATGATAACATCCTATAGCACACGACTTACACTGTGTCACAATATACTAATGACAGAAGAAAGAGAGGATGTTCGCACTGTGGCTTGCCAGCCTCCCCCAGGTAACACTGGAATCAGGCATGACATGTGGTCCACATCAAATGTGAAGCCTATGCAAAAGTATTGGCAAAGTTTAACTTCTTTCTTACATTTGTACATGAAAACAAATGGAAAGTTCTAATGTTACCTTCCCACACTTGACATGGATCACCTTGCAGCTTCAGTTCTCAGATCTCCAACAGGACCCCTTGGGACACCATCCCAGAGCCACCCCATGCTCCCAGATTGCTGCTCACCCCCTGCCTCCATCCCACAGGAAGCACTCTTTATGATTAGGAATGTCACATGATGAAAAAGCAGTCCTGTTAAAATATAGCAACCTCAGGGCTGATGGGTTTGTGATTCCATTTAATATTCATTTAATGAGTTGCGCCTTCCTCCCAAGGCATTTGATTTCTACATTTTTCAGACATCTTAACATGGAAAACATCCTACATTTCAGTGAGACTGGCTGTGCTTTTGTAGTCTACCCCATCAGCCAGTGCCCCAACCTTCGCTGTTCTCTTGTCTGCTCCAAAAGTTTGTATTGAAATACATAGTAGATGGAATTTCTTCATGCTACTCCTCAGAGGGAGGCCTCTTTACTTGCAAAAATCCCAGAATCAGCTTCCTTGGATGCCTCTCTTTTCCTTTCCTTTATTCCAAGCGGACCAAATAACCTGATGTCTGACGCCCAAATTCACCTTGAGGGTGCACTGCGTGAGCTTTGTTTTGTTCCCATAGGGTAACACTTGTCTTCAAATCAGGAGAAAGCCTTTTCCCATTCACTTTGGTATTTCTTTGCTTAAAAGAAAATTATTTGTTAAAAGTACTGTTAACTTTTCACAAGAAATCTTAAAAAGGTTGCCTACTATTCTTAAAATAACTTACATTTAAGGGTATGTTGCTTTTTATTCATGGAGCATCTAAGAAACAAAATCCCAGGGAATCCTGTAATCTATTCCAAAATTGCAGGCCACATCAAATCAGTATGCAAATTAGCAAAGAAGCCATTCAAACACTCAAGTGTATGTGAGCCTTAACAGTCTAGAGGTGGGGAGGAGCAAGAGCCCTCCCTCTCAGACACTTCATGTATCTCGATTTCCATCTCCCTAAGTATGTATTCCTCCCTGGATAGCCCTACTGCTCCACCAGCTCCATGACACTAACCAAGCTTCTCATCTCTGCTTGATGTCCCCTCTTGGAAGTAACAGCCCCTCTTCTCCTCCCCATCGTTCTGTGTTCCTCGCCTGTATCCCCATTCTTCTTGGTGCTCTGGCATAGTTGGATGCTTCCTGCCTTACCCCACAATGTGAGCTCCAGGAGGCAGGGACTGGGCTTCATTCCTGGCCATGTCCTCACCTCCTAGAACAGGGCCAGCCTGACATGGCACAGCTCCTCATAGATCTTTGTTGTGTGGGTAACTGAAGCACACTGAAGAAGAGGGACAGGAGGGCCGTAGGAGAAAGGCTGGCCTGCTTCCACAAGATAACATGCCTGCAGACAGAATCTAGATGAGATCAGGAGAAAGGCTAGGCATGCTGGTAGCTTCTCAGTGGAGAGAGACAAGCATGCTAGAGGTGTGGGTGGCCAGGCCCCCTCCAGACTGAGAAACGAGGGGTAGTTGAGAGAAGAGCCAGGCTTAATGTGAATTCCCTGGGAGTCTCAGACCATCTGACATCAGGAATCTGAGGCCTGGGGGTCCCTCAGTCTCAGCTAGTCAGCTTGCCCTTTCTGGGTTGATCCCCCACCCTATACTTGGGGCAGGTGCTGGATATCAAAGCAGGACCTGGAAGGAGGTCCACTCTAGCTTTCTGTCCTCAACAGAGGAAAGGGTGACAAGCAAGACTGATACTGCCCAGGTCTTCCTTTGAAAGCAAACTGCACCAGCAATCCAAACCTCCTCTTCCATTCTTTTTTTTTTTTTTTTTTTTTTTTGGTACTGGGGATCGAACTCCAGTCTTTGCGCTTGCGCAGCAGGTGGCAAAACTCCTCTTCCATTCTTAGCAGACTTCAGAAACAACTAATGGCAAACAAGAATAAGGACAAGCCTGAGTCTTCACCTGGGGAGCTTCCAGTTTGCCTCATTATGGTCAGCACAAGAAAAATCCTATAGATCACAAAGTATGCAAAATCAACAAACTCTGGGGTTTTACTTAACACCAAAGCTGCAGCACACATTCACTGTCTTCATATTTAAGTCCTCATGAGGCCAGGCTGTTGTCTGGTGATGCAAAATTAAGACCATAAGTAAATGAGATAAAAGGACACAAATCCCAGTGGGAGGAGGACAGATCAAGACCTGGGGTCTATATTCAGGATCACCCGGCCAGTGTCCTTTGTTACAGAGGTTAGCAGTTACCAACTTTAATAACTTTACATATGCTGACTCAATCTTTCTCACAACCCTATCCAATAGATAGTACTAACATTCTCATTTTATAGCCTAGATGCCCATCAACAGATGAATGGGTAAAAAAAAATGTATATATACACACACAGATTATTCAGCCATAAAAAGATGAAGTTGGGTCATTTCCAGGAAAGTCGATGGAACTGGAGGTGACAATGTTTCATGAAATAAGCCAGACTCAGAAAGTCAAACAGTTCATGTTTCCTTTCATATGAGGGATGTAGGGGGGAAAAAGAGAAAGAGACGCTATGAAAGTAGAAGGGAGACTATCAGAGAGGAAGGGGATAGGCAGGAGGAGAAAGGGTGAGGGGCCTATGGGAGGAAAGGATCCAGGTGTGTTATATGCATGTTTGAGTATGCTACAGTGAAGCCCTCCGGTCTATATAACTAATATATACTAATAAGCACTATTCCTGTTTATGAATCAGAAAATGGAAACTGAAGTTACTTGCTGGAAGTCACATGGAAAGAAAATGGCAATCCAGAAGCCATGTGTCCAAGACAAAAATATTAAATAAGTACAGTACTGAGTGCTCCCCAGAAGTGCCCCGCTAAACACAGCTGCTCTTCCCACCTCCATGCAGTGGGAACTCACTCTGAAGAGTCCACCATGAGGAGGTGTGACTAAGAAGCCATGGACTAGACTAGGGCACAGTTCCAGCACAGGACAGTGTGGGTGCTTTGCTTACTGCATGCCAGGTAGACCCAGCCGTGAGCTCCGACTTTTCCAGCAGGACCACATCTCTCATGCCCGCTTTGGCCAGGTGATAAGCCAGACTCACACCGATGCAGCCACCTCCAATTATAACCGTCTCTGCCCTGTCTTTCCACTGTGTTTCTGCAGATAAAGGCAGGTTTTCTTCTCTGAAAGACAATATTTTTAGGAAATGTAACTTTATTTGATTATTACGGCAGCTAGAATTTTGGTCTGGCTGATATGTTTCTAGTTCTTAACACCTAGTGACTACAATTTGCATGGTGCTCTTTAATAACCCAGGCATCTAAACTCAGACTAGGTAGCCTGGTTGGGGAGGAGAGGGGACATCTGAGCACCATCCCATGTCATGACTCTGGTGCACTGTAGGTACTAATTATAGCTAAAAAAAAATCCACAGGTAGGGCCAGGGATTTAGCTCAGTGGTTTTGCCGCCAGCTGCGCAAGCGCAAGGACCTGAGTTCAATCCCCGGTAAGAAAAAAAAAGAAGGCTATTTGTTGGGGATTTAGCTCAGTGGTTCCGGCTCCTGCCTTGCAAACACAAGGTCTGAAGTTTGGTCCCCACTACCAAAAAAAAAAAAAAGAAAGAAAGAAAGAAATCCACAGGTAGCTTCTTTGTTTGCAAAGAATCTAGAGAATTTTTCTTACTTAAAAACATGAATTCATTTAATAATTCTCATGTTGAAACTCAACCCTCTATTAATCATACTTTTCCTACATAAGCCTTCCCCTCAAATACAATTCTAGCAAAGATAGTATTCATGAGGGTACGAGGATTTATTAATTATTGCCACCAGTCAAGCATCCATGTCACTCATTCATTCTTCACTCTTCCTATCCACTCATCTAGCACTTCCCAAGCTCCTGCCACAAACAAGGCACCAAACCATGCAGCAGTGATGAGCCAAAACAGACACCACTGCTACTCTCTGAAACTTACAACACAGCTGGGGAGAGAGAAGCAAATAAACACAGCTGTGGAAATTCCAACAATGAAAGCTGCTGTGCAGGATGCAGGGTCCCACGAGAGTTGGGTGAGTAGGAGACTGCTGATTGAGTGTTGAATGAGGACAGGTTAAGCAGGCAAAGTGAGGAAGGAAGACTATTCCAGGCTAGGGGACAGCTATGTAGCAGGTCAGTGCCTGGAGGGCCACCAAGGCCAGAGTATGGAGGTGGGGTCCCTCTAGAGAGGCCTCAAGGTGCACCTTAGCTGTCTTTTGGTCTATGGGTTCATTGCTGTGTGTTGAGCACCTAAAACATTTGGTAATCAGTAAGTACAACAGAGTACATTAATGAATATGTTTTTTATTATCCAATGCTTACCAATTTGTTACCAAATTCTCTTATTCTTTCTTAATTGCTAATCCCTTTCTTACATTAATTTCTAATTAAGAGATTCACAATATGAATTATTAAGATTCTGGGAAGATTTCCCATATTATATTTTGATGACGCTAAAAATAGTAGTTTTTAGGACAAGCCACTTTTTTGGTTGGTTTTGTTTTGCTAAGGATTGAATTTAGGGCATTGTGCTTGCTCTGCAACTAAGCTACATTACCGATTCTTTTTAAAATTTTTATTTTGAGGCAGGGTCTCCTTAAGTTGCTCAGGCTGGCCTCAAACTTGAGATTTTCCTGTCCCAGCCTCCTGAGTACCTGGGATTACAGTTTCCCTAGACTACAGATTTCTATTTTCTTTATTGGTTAACCAACTGGTTTAGGGAGTGACTTTCTATGTGGATATAATTTCAAACTTACAGAAAAGTTGCAAAAATTGTAGAAAGAACTCTCAGAATTCTTAGAAGGGAAATGTTACCTGTGATGTAGTCTCAATTACTTCAAAATATATATCATTCCAATTTTAGTATATATGCTGCCAAAGTGAGCGCTTCAATATATATAACATATATATAAATATTATTATGTATATTATATATGTACAATTTTCAGAGTAAACTGAAGATACTTCTAAGTATTCCTGTACTTGTTTCCCATACTCCTACACATATACAAACACATTCTTTTACATAACTGTAGCACAGCAAAATCATGAAAAATCAGGAAATTTAACATCAATACAATATTATCTAACCTATTATCCATATTAAAACTTCATATATTATCCCAATAATGTATTTATACTTCTTTTTACAGTTGAGTATCAAATCCACAAACCCTCTCTTTAGTCCTCTTAATTTAGGACCGCCTTTGTGTTTCATGACTATGACATTTTTTGAGAGTGATAGCCAGTCCTTCCAGAGAATGGTGTTTGGTGTTTGGTGAGTTTGGTGTTTCCTTGTGATGTGGTTTAGGGTATGTATTTTTGGCAAGAATGTCACTAAGGGATGTTAGGTCTTCCTGGTGCATGTGATTAGGAGGCACACGATGCTGATGTGTCCCAGGCTTGGCACGGCTTATGTCTGGTGACTTGCTTACAGTGGTGGCTGTCAGGTTTATTTGGTAAAGTCACTATGTTCTCTTTCCTAATCATAAGTAATAATGTATGGTGTTACCTTGAGACCATGGAAAATGTCCTGTCCCTTATCAAACACTGACTAAGGGGTTTTAGCACCTATTGATTGTTTCTTACCTCCACCACTCCCATTATATTTACAGTTGTCATCCTACTGCACAACACTACTTTCCTTCAGTTTGTTTCCTGTGTCAGTTTGTTTCCTGTGTCAGTATCAACTCATGGATATTTATTGTATTCAGCAGGTTGGAATCAACTGCTGTTCAGCATTTATTTTAATGCCAAATTGTTCCAGAGTTGGTCAAAACAAAAATTCATCTAAGTTTATCCATGAGTGCTTTTGAAGTGACCTCGTGATTCTTACACATTTTTTTATTCTCTGGTGTTATAATATGTTCCACTAACTCTTGTTTAGCCTATTTTTAAATTACTTTTACCATCTTTGTATGATGTGTAAGAAAAAAACAATCCACATGTGACTACTTTGCATAGAAATCTATTTTCAAGGGGCCAGGGATGTAGCTCAGTGGCGCTGAACCTGCCTGGCAAGAGCAAGGTCCTGAGTTTGATCCTTAGTACCACACAAAAAAAACACTAAACAAAACTATTTTTCAAATGGCCTGAAGATATTTTGTACTTTATTTGAAACCATTACAGAAATGACAAACAATAATAATTTTCAAGATGCTTTTTTTGTGGGTTCAAAAAGAAAAAGATATGATTTATTTCAGGACAGTAGTCAGGTGAAACAAAAAGAATAAAGAATTTAAGACCAAGAAATCTGGATTTGCCACTGCTCCCAGGGCAGAGGAGGTGAGCCAATCCTAGCGCCCAGGAGGAGGCTCCCCAGCCAACATTCCACTGCTCCCAGGGCAGAGGAGGTACTTCGTAGAAGTTGTTGAATTTATTTCAAAAAAGATTTTTGTAATATGCTTTCTATATCCTTTTAAATTCTGTAAAATCTGTGGTAATGTCTCCTAGATCTTGATATTATAATTTTTAAAATGTATAATTGATATTGTGTAATAGGAAGTAAAGGTCTAAAGGAGCAGGGGAAGTGGGAGGGGTAAGTGAAAGGAAAAAAAGGAAAAGAAAAAATATGAGAAAAGGAAAAAAATGGAAACAGAGTCTTGGCAAATAGGGAAGGGTGGAGGGGGTGAAGGGAGGGCAGGGGAAGGGGAAAAAAATAAGAACCAAGATACTGATGTAATGGTTCAAGATCCCAATGATGAATGTAACTGTATTTTATACCTAAAATGTACCAATAAACTTAATGGGGAAAAAAAAAACAATTCTGGATGCAAGCACCCAGTCTAACTGAATAGCAGTTTTAGGGAAATTTAGAGAAAGGGTCTCAACATTTCCTGTTCTGAAAAATGGGGCTATCAGTTTGCAATATGTGATAAAGCGTTATCAAAGGTATAGCATTTCTTCTGTCAAGCATGTATAATGAGTGCCAGACTAGGTAACTTGTAAAGTTATGATAGCTGTCTTAAATTCCTTCTGAAAGTAGTTAGGAAGGGTTATAAAATGTACACAGAATCAAATAAAGGAGGAGTCATGCAAAAAAAAAAAAAAAACCCATGTCACCTATCTCCTATATTAGAAATGGGTTTTTTGTTGTTGTTATTGTCACATCTTTTTCTACCAGTACAATTGGTTCTACAGTAATGAGCTTCATCTTGGCAAATTTATGTATGCACATAACATACTTTGATCATTCTCACACCTCATTGCTCTCCTTCCCCAGCCTCCTCTCTAGTTTCATATTTTGGGGGTTTCCATGTGTATAATTTATTTTGATCATATCCATCCCCCCTGTTACCCACCCTTACACTCTCTCCCCCTTCCCCCTATTCAGAAATGGGAACTTTTATATTGTCTCTGTGTTTGACCAAGTGCCTTCCAAAATCAAACATCTTGACAGCCTGAGATTGGGTCTATAAAGAACATGCAACAGAAATAAAATCATTTAAATTTTGATTTGTTGAATATAAACTACACATTGTTAAATGAAAAGAGTAGACCTGAATATTACATCTAATCAGTTTTTTATTTGTTTGTTTTTGGTACTAGGGATCAAACTCAGGACCTTGTACTTTCCAGGCTCCAGCTGCCAAGATACATCCCCAGCCCATACATCTAATCAGTTTTAAAGAAATCAGCTCTCATTTGTTAAATTTCTCTAACCTTTTACTGGAGGTAAAGTATTATTATTATTATAAGTATTTTTGTGATGTTTTACAGTCCACAAAGCACTTTCATATGTATTCTCTTATTTAAAATTTGCTACCCTGTGAGTTAGGCAGAGCAAATATTAGTATCCCCATTTTATTAATAAGCAAACTGAAAAAAAAATAAGCAAAGTGAAACTCAGAAGCATGTCACATCCCGAGTAACTTAGAGTGCAGGGACCAGGCTCTTGTATTCCTAGCACCAGGCACCAGCTTAGAACATCACCGAGTTAAATATTTGTTAAATGAAAGGATGGATGGATGGATGGAAGGATGGATGGATGGATGGATGTCAAAAACAAGTCATTTGATTTCCAAAATCTTAGGTTTTAGAATGTGAAATAAAAACTGAGAGCCTGTGGAGGTGGTGCATACCTGTAATCCCAGCACTGTGGGAAGCTAAACCAGAGGATGGCAAGTTTAAGCCCAGCTTGGGCAATTTAGTGACTGTCTCATGATTTTAAAAATAATTCAAAAAAATTTAAAGGGGGCTGAGGATATGGCTCATTCTGAAGGCCCTGGGTTCAATTCCCAGTATGGAAAATAAATAAATATTGAGTCAACTCCACTCATGAACAGAAGCCCTACCTTAAGTCATGAACAATCTGTGAACACAAGGAAGCCAACAGATGCGCAGCACTGCTCTATTTAAATGCAGATCATTAAAACAAGAAAATGCCACTTTCTCCTATCAGATTGAGCAAAGACAAAAGGCAGTTGCTACTGTAGGAGGGAAGACAAGCAAAGGCACACGCAGTTGGGGAAATGAATCTTCCAGTGAAATCTGTTAACCTTTGGATCTTTCAAACTAATTTCGCTTTTAGAAATTGTTTCTAATGGTAGACTACCATGTGTGCCCAAAGATGCATGCATAAGAATTTCACATGCACTTTCCCTGGAGTCGCTAACAACTGAAGGCCTAAACGTTAATGATTGCTTAATCATATCCTAGTGTTGGCAATACAGAAAACTATGCAGCCTTTAAGAACAAGGCAGATCAACCAGGCGCTGATATGGACCCTCTCCAAGACGTCGGAACCCTAAAAAGCGGGGCCTGCGTAGCCGAAGACCTTGCATGCCCCTTTGCCTCTTAGGCCTGCGGGATGCAGAGGACACAAAGCCAGGGCGAGGGGACAAGGGCAAAAGCCACCTTGCGCTCGACACTCTCCACATCGCCTCTCCTCCAGGAGCAGCCCGGCCCGACCCGACGACCCGCGGCGCTGGCGGCGCCCACTCACCCTGGCCAGGCGCTAGGGAAGCCCCGAGTCTGAGCGGGACCCCGAGACAGGCGGCGACCCGAGAACAGGACGGGACCCCGAGACAGGGCGAGGCCCCTCAGCGGGCGCGCCACCGCCCGGAGCATGGCGAGGCGGGCGGGGTAGCCAGGTGGCTAGGGTGAGCAGGTGGCTGAGGCGGCCGGGCGGATCCTCCCCCGGGCGGGGCGGGATTTGGGCCCAGCCCGCCCGAGACGCCCTCAGAGCCCGCGATGGCGCCTGCCGGAGGTTCCGGACCCAAAAGGGTAAGTCCTTTCCTCCCTCCCTGCCTCCTTCCATTCCTTCTGGCCCCTGGGCTCCGGGTAGCTGGAGTTCAAGTCCCGCCTGGGTCCCGAGCTCAGCCCCGAAGGCCTTCGGGAGGCCTGGATTCGCGCTCTGAGCCTCAGTTTCCCCGTAGCCGGTTGAGTCACCTTTCCAGGGTGCTTCCTTGGTGCTTGGCACTGGGCCGAGTACTTTACACCAAGCAACTGTACAATTATCCTCGCTTTACAGGTGAGGAAACTGAGACTTAGAGAACCAGGCAACAGCTCGGGGTCGCCAGCCTAGTGCGGGCAGAGCGGGGCCCTAAAGTCCAGCCTTGGATTGGGGCGCAGGCACCCACAGACCCAGCTCCGGAGCTCGGTGCAGGCTGCAGCCAGACCTGCTTGGGCCGTGGGGCGGGCATGCGGGTCCCTCTGCCTCCTGCCCACTAGGGCTCCAGCTGCTGGCCCCTTTCCAGATCTGATCACCAGCGCCTGTGCCAGCTTTATTTCCCCAGCGGTGGGTGTGTGGGGTGGAAAGGAGTGAACACTAAACCAACTACTGTGGGCCAAACTTGGAAGGGCGGCAGTCCCAGGACCCTTCAGAGCCACCACCAGAGCCCTGTAATTCAGAATGGGCACCATTTATTTCTTAATACTAAAATGTTAGGAGAGGCCATCCCTTCATACTGAATCTGGTAATAGAAATTTAATATTTTTTAAACATTTTACAACATTTACAATATTTTTATGTTTTACTGTATATTCAAAGTTTTGTTTTATTAATGTGCAAAAAAGGCTTAGAAATTTTAGTTTTTATTCCTTAATTGGTAAATATAGTTAATTATGGAATATATTTACCACCTCTAGTGAATGTCCTTTATATATGACTAATTCAAGAGTAATATGTGGTCTGTAAGTTTGTTTAAAATTGCAGTTTTTCAATCCAAAAATTTGTTTGGAACCAGAAGAGACCTAGAATAGCAAAAGCAATTCTAGGCAACAGAGATATGGCTGGGGGTATCACAGTCCCCAACTTGAAACTATACTTCAAAGCTACTGTGACAAAAGCAGCATGGTACTGGCAAAGAAACAGACCCGAGGATCAGTGGAATAGATTAGAAGATGCAGAAACAACTCCAGACATACTCAGCCACCTTATCTTTGACAAAGGAGCCAACCACCCTCATTGGAGGAAAGATAGCCTATTTAATAAATGGTGTTGGAAAAACTGGATTTCAACCTGCCAAAGATTAAAACTAGACCCATACCTATCACCATGCACTAAATTAAGATCTAAGTGGATTAAAGACCTAAATATTAAGGCAGAAACACTAAACTTGCTGGAAGATAAGTTAGGTAGAACTCTTGAAGACATTGGCGTAAGAAAAGACTTTATGAACAAATCTCAGTAGCACGGGAGTTAGCACAAAGAATCAACAACTGGCATCTCATCTTATTAAAAAGCTTCTGCACTGCAAGAGAAACCACCAACAGAGCTAAGAGACAACCTACAATGTGGGGAAAAAATTTTAGCAGCTGTACCTCAGACAAAGGACTACCATCTAGAATATATAAAAAACTGAAAAAAATCAGACCCCCCCAAATTCAAAGACCCAATTCAAAAATGGGCATCTGAAATGAACAGATATTTCTCAGACAAAGAAGTAAAACCAGCAAATAAGCATATGAAAAAATGTTCAACATCAGTAGTCATTCGAGAGATGCAGATGAAAACAACACTGAGATTCCACCTCACCCCACAAAGAATGGCTGCTATCAGAAATCAAACAATAACAAATGCTGGTGAGGTGTGGAGAGAAAGGAACCCTTCTCCATAGTTGGTGGGAGTGCAGACTGGTGCAACCACTGTGGAAGTCAGTATGGAGATACCTCAAAGAACTAGGGCTAGAGGTCCCATTTGACCCAGGTATTCCCCTGCTGGGTATCTTCCCCAAAGAATTAAAAGAATCATACCACAGTGATATATGTGCACCCATGTTTATAGCAGCACAATTTGTAATAGCTAAAGCTTGGAAACAGCCCAAGTGCCTATCAACTGGAAACTGGATAAAGAAGATGTGGGTTTTTTTATACAATGGAGTACTACTCAGCCATAAAGAACGAGAAAGTAGAGACATTTATAGCTAAATGGATGCATATTGAGGCCATGCTCATAAGTGAAAAAAATAGGACACACATGTGTAAATACCAAATAGTTTCTCTAGTGTAAGAAACTGGCAGTGTAAATAAGAATTAAAATGATTTAAATGAATAATTGATAATTTGAAATACGAAGAAAAGGTCCAAAGGGGTAGGGCAGGTGGGAGGGGAAGGGGAAAGGAAAGAGGGGAAAGGAAAAATTATGAGAAAAGAAAAAAAATGGAAACAAAGTCTATATAAATAGGGAAGGGTGGAGGGGGTGAAGGGCGTACAGGTAATGGGGAAAAAAATTAGAACCAAGATACATCATGTACAGGTACAAGTACCCAATGATAAATGTAAATGTATTGTTTACCTAAAATGTACCAATAAAAGAATTTAAGGAAGAAAAAACAATTGCAGTTTTTAAGGAAAATGTAGAGGAGCAACAAAAAGCCAAGCAACTTCATAGCTAGAGTATATTAATCCTTCAGTTGAGTAGTTTTTGTTTTGTTTTGGTTTGGTTTGGTTTTTTGGTACCAGGGATTGAACTCGGGTCCTTGCAGTTGCACAGCAGGCAGCGAAACCACTGAGCTAAATCCCCAGCCCTAAGTTCAGTACTTTTTGACCAAGAATCAGAAGTCCAAGGGGTACATTTATTACTTTAATCTGCACTCACTGAAAAAATGTATTACCATACATGATAGCTTTATTGCAGGCTGTTATTTTCCTTTTCATTTTTTGGCTCTTCAGAAACTTAAATACTTAAGCTTGTACACGATCCTGTGTTTTGCTATCCTTTTTACTGTAAAATGTAAATATTTTAAGAAATATTTTGATTCTAAAAATGATAAAAGAATTTCTGATGTACAGAAAAGATGCCCTACAATAGGGGATGCTAAATAAATTAAGGCCTTTCACTTAATAAGTTATCAGGCAGCCGATCAAACGAGTATGAGAATAAGCAAAGTGCTCAGGAAGGAGACCCTGTCCTCAGGAAGGAGACCCATGACTGAGGGACGAAGAGTGTGAAAGTAGGGGTGTACACACAGCAAGGGAGACCATCACAGCAATACACATGACACAAGGTGTGAAATGTGGATTTCAAAAACATGTTTTGGGATATGTTCATCTGATTGTAAAAGTGAAGGAAATGAAGTTAATAAAAAGAAAAAGAAGCAAAAAACCTTGTGCTGATTTCCCTCAATTTTCTCTGATGCTATATTCATTTTTACAGTTCAGTTTTTTTAAAGATTTTTTTAAAATGACCTGTCCTTGGGCAGGTCCTTGGGAATCTCTGCTCTTGCATCACCGCTATGCCCTGTTAAGGGGCATCTGGGTTTAAGGTGTTAGTGGGGAGGAAGTAATCACCCTCTCTCCTTAGCTGACATGCACATTTTAAAAATTCATTTAATTACCACAGAGAATGCCAAACAGTTCTTTACTCCAAAAGCACAGTCCTATAGTGACTCCAGGCAGTTGGCAGGATATTTTAGACAGATTGAGTCTTCACAAGGGGAAGTTGTTCTCCTTTAAACATGAATAGATTGCCCTGAAGCCAGATTTCAAATCCAGAGCTTTTAAGTGTTGATATCTATAAAAAAAAATGGAGGCATAAATGTACCCAGAGCTCACTATCTGATGCACAGCAGGCTCACCACCACATGAGGAAAAGGATGGAAACAAATTTCAGTGCTCTGCAAAATAATTTACAGTGTTCTTTATTTTACATGCTCCTGTCTTTGTCATTCTAAAGCTGTCTTTAGCTCATAGTGGTGTACTGATTTACTGAGGTTGTAAGTATAGGAGGAAGGAGCAGTGAAAAGGTGCTTTGAATACAAATCCTAATGATTTAATCATTTTACTATCAGCTGTAGTAAAATGACAAGTTTAAAGTGTTTGACAGGGCCGGGGATTTAGCTCAGTGGCACTGCTCCTGCCTCACAAGTGCAAGGTCCTGAGATCCATCCCCAGTACTGCCAAAAAAACCCCCAAGTGTTAAAGTGTTTGACAAACATGGACATCCATATGGTAAATGAAAATGTCTCACATTTATTCAATGTCATGAAGTCATAATATGTACTTCAATTTTCTTAAAATCCTAGCTAATTTTCTGTTCAGGTGTGACTTTTTTTTCTTCAGGACCAAAATTCTAGCATGTGTGACTCATCTGAAGTTTTCAAAACAGTCTTGTCTCTTTGCTAAGCTGTTGGAATACTTTAATAAGGGTCTCCTCCTTGTGAGGTACCCAAAGATGTGGTAGGGACATAGACAAATAAGATGTGTCCCCTGTCCCCACATATCCTACAGTGAAAGTGAGGAAGCAGGCAGGTAATTAGATGCTATAAGACAGGTAGATGCATGGCCAGAATGGGTTGGAGATCATTCCAATAATCCAGTGGTGTGTGAATATGAGAACTTCATAAGAGAGACACTTGTGCAACCCGGTGGCAGATTGGACATGGGAGGTGGCAGGCTAACCTATAACGTTAATAGTGTTTGCCCCCTCCGGAATAATGTTTGCCCCCTCCGGAATTGTTTGATGAGCATTATTAAATTTGATTTTTAACTTGGTTAACACAAATGAGATGTTTATGTTTCCCACCCAGCTAGAGGTCCAGAGCCGGGCCACCTGAGGCGACTCAGGAAAGTCTTTGAGAAGCCAGGCTCCTGTCGGCAGCAGCTCCACCAGCCCTATGTGATGGGAACACAACTCCTGACCCAGGAGATGTCAGATGTGCTAAGCTTGTGGTCTCTCAACACCAAGGAATGGAATTGTGAACAAAAGGAGAAAGTTAGAAGAGTTTTACTAGAAATAAGGAGAAGAAGGGCTGGGGATTTAGCTCAGTGGCACTGTGCCTGCCTTGCAAGGGTAAGGTCCTAAGTTTGATCCCCGGTACCAGAAAGAAAAAGAAATAATAAGAAGAAGGGCTCTTGGATTTCCAGGAGAGGTCCTGAGTGGGTGGCCACTAAGGCCCTTTGGCGGGGGTAATTTATATAGCAAAGTCACAACACGGGTACAACATGAGTCAAAGTACAATAGACTTATAGGAGTCTTAGGATAGTTGCTTAGCTAATATTGATCCAACAGGAAAGCTAGTCATGTAGGCAAGCATCATTCACATTAGCTTATCTATAAATTCTAACCTAGAAAGGACAAAGATACTCCTGGACAGGGAGGGGAGGATGGATCCAGATGTTCTGGTCACCTGCCTATACTCTCTGGACCCATTCATACTTTGTGGACAGGGGTGCTAATCACAGTGTGATCTGAAGCTACTTTTTATATCTAGGGAAACTTACAAGTGACTTTCTCTAGGGCCCATCCCTCTGACTGTTAATTTCTAGCTAACTTAACTGTCTTAATATTAGCATGTGGCTTCCAGTGGCTACAAGGTGCTTGCTGTAACCCCCAAGGATTATACTGACTTCAGTTAGGAAGGAACAAACAGAAAGAAGGGAGGGAGTGGCACCGTCTGAGGAGAGCACTGATTCTGCACAGATCCTCGGTCAGCTTCCACCTGTGTCTCCTTGGCCAGTGCTCTATCACAAGACCACTCCCGGCAGCAGCAAGCCTGGGAAATGCTTTTGAGTATGTCATCTTTCCACAAAAACACACTAGCAAAGAAGAGGGAATGCATATTAGTTAGGCAACTATCAGTGTCACCACAAACATGTTGAAAAACCAAAATAATTACCAGGACATCAGCACTTTCACTATAATTTGACCCGGAGTAATTGAGAAATAAATAGGGCCTTTAAGTGACTGCTCAAAATAGGTGCCTGGATTGGCCAAGCAAGATAATATGCTCTCTCTCTCTGAAATACTATCAGACATGGCTTTAACAGAACTATGGCTCCAAGAAAATAGTGCCACATTTCATACAATTAGGAATTGCTTTTAAAAAATAGGGTGTGAGGAGAACTTAGGTGATTTTTCTTTCTCCTTTTCAGGGTATTTTGCAGCGTCTGGACCAAGGGGAGGTGGTGATTGGGGACAGCAGCTTCCTCATCACTCTGGAGAAGAGAGGCTACGTGAAGGCTGGGCTCTGGACTCCGGAAGCTGTGGTAGAGCATCCAGACGCAGGTCAGTGGCTGAGTCACCCTAGAGCATTTGTCTGACATTTTGCTTAAATCTAAATGGGAAAAAAATCAAGAAGTACTAGTGAGCATTTCTAAGGGAAGTGTCACTTGGAAAATTGCCACGATGTGGAGGCAGGACATGAGCTAGAACATATAAAAGAAATGATCGATCTCTCTCTCTGTCTGTCTGTCTGTCTGTCTCTCTCTCTCTCTCTCTCTCTGTCTCTCTCTCTCACACATACACACACACACACTCATTGCATCTTCTTATATGAGCAGTGCTAAAATACACATTTTAATACTTATAGATACTCAGGAGTTTCTTTAAAATAGTAAAAAGTGTCATTGCTCCTATTCATCTTGCCAACTGATGTGCATACTACAACAGCCTCTATAATAAGAATGATTAATGGCAGCCATCAGCCTAACCGAGCACCGACAGCCAGGTTGTGGGGTGAGAAGGCAAAGGAATAATCAGTTTCAGATCATGCTTCTGGCTGGGGGCAGGGTAAGTGTTGATGGAAGAAACTGACAAGATTGATTGGTAACATCAAATTGGAACCTTAACTCTATTCTTTTTGTGTGTTCCTGCTCTTAAAGTGGGAAAATGAAGCCAAGAATATGGAGAAACCACATACAAGCTAAGAATGGCCCTTGAGTGGCACTGATTTGATGCATATATGTGCATACCAGGCAAACCGAGGCTCCTGTCTTAGTTCTCCACTGACCAGCTGCATGACCTTACCCAAGTCCCTGGACCTCACCAAGGACACACTGTTCCATGTGTCATGTGGTGCAGGACGTGGCCAGCTGTGAGAACCAAAGAGTGAGCACACAGGCTGCCCAGGGTACCTTAAGCACAGCTGCTATTCCCACTACTCCTGCAGACAGCCAGAGTTCTGCAAGGGGCAGGACAAAAGTCTGTCTCTCTGGTGCTTTGCAGGCAGTTTTCATCCAGCCCAAGAAGACTGTGTTGTTCATTTTGGAAGAAAGTGCTGAAGTAGCAAGGATGAGGCTGTGGGATAGAGGTGAAGGTGGAGAAGAGAAAGAAAGGGATGACTTTCTGAGAGGTCCAAGACTATGTTCAGGTTACTTTTTTTCCCCCTGCCTGGTACTGGGGTTTGAACTTTGCACTGAGCAGCATCCCCAGCCTTCCACCCCTTTTTGAGACAGGGTCTCATTAAGTCACAAAATTGCCCGGGCTAGGCTAGAACTTACAATCCTCCTGCCTCGGCCTCCCTCTGTACTCGCTGTGGATGGGCCTGCTGTGGGTGCCACACTCATGCTGTCCATGAGGGCCTCCTCTTCCCACTGAGGGCTACTAACGCCCTTCACCTCTCAGGTGTGCAATAAACCTCTCCAGACCAAGAGATCAGGGGACAATGGGCCAACCAGGCCTTCATCTCTGTGTGCAGTGGCACCAGACCTCAGGCCTCAGGAGGGTGGCGGGTCTCCTCCAGACAGCACATCCTGTCCTTGAATTCCTCGGACTTCACCTGTGACCTTTTATCAGTACTGGGTTTGCAGCTGGGTCTGATTGAAAGTGATGGGGCTGAGGGAGCCGCTGCGTAGAGTAACAGCGCCTGCCATTTCTTTTTTTTATTATTATTTCTATTTTTAAAACCCCAACTATTTTGTAGTTCGTCAGCTCCACATGGAATTCTTGAGGGCGGGGTCAAATGTCATGCAGACATTCACCTTTTCTGCCAGTGAGGACAACATGGACAGCAAGGTGAGCTATCCCAGGGCTGGGAGGGGAGGGCAGCTCAGGACACACCTGATGAGCTACTGCACTGTCATGCAAAATCCACACACAGTTTGGCTAACTCATAACTCTACGTAAAGGAGCTTTTCCTGCGCTTCAGGTAGAGGAGAGGACGGGGCCAGACACAACTGGCCATCAGAAGGGCAGCGCTGTCCTTTTGGGCTGTTTTTGGAGAAAGAACACTTTGTAGATGCTCCTTTCACCTTTTCATTTCACACCATTCTCTCTGCCTTGCCTGTCTGGGCATAGAAACATACTGAAGAACACAACTCCAGCCTAGGAATGAGAAAATTTAGGTTTGACACTCAACTTCGCCACCTGTTGTCTGGGTGACTGCATAGGACAGTTCCCTGTGTTAAGTATTACGCTCTTGCTGCAGATAGCAGATAACAGCCACCCTGTGTTCATAGACCCATGGAGAGGAATGGATGAGGTGAAGGATGCAGAAGTGTATAAAATACCCTGCAAGTGCAAAGTGTTAATTGTTGTAAATGTTGATGTTCATTTGTTTGTTTAATGATCAAATGTCTAGTGGGTACTAGTAAATGTTATAGTTATAGTCTGTGGTCCATTCTCTATGCTCTGTGCGAGTCATAGACCCTATTCTGAAGAGGGCCATGCTCAAGTGTGGAGGCAAACAAACAGTTATTAAGATCTGGCATGGTAAGTGCACTATAATCGAAATATAAAGCCACACATCTATTATAGGTTTTTCCCAACTCTGCCAGCCTTCTTGTATTGCAGTTTAAATGAGTAACTTTGTTATCTATTGTATTTCATATTTAGAATGCCAGGCTTACTGTCTTGACTTGTGCTTTCTCACCTCAGTGGGAAGAGGTAAATGCTGCTGCTTGTGATCTGGCCAGGGAAGTGGCTGGCAAAGGTGATGCTTTGGTAGCAGGGGGAGTCTGCCAGTCATCGATGTACAAGTACCACAGGGATGAAGCTAGAATTAAAAAACTTTTCCGACTACAGCTAGAGGTTTTCGCCAGGAAAAACGTGGACTTCCTGATCGCGGAGGTAAGCCCAGTGTTGGAGGAGCAGGATCCAGCCTATTTTGATGAGTCTACCTGCAAAGCCTTCAACTTTTGTCAGGGTATTGGCCGGCCTCGTGTGCTCGTGTCCTGCTCATGTGCATGGTCAGAGGCACATGTCAGTGTATCTATTGCAGGTCAGCTAACACACTCCTACTTGTAGCCTGCTATCTCCATGAGGTCAAGGGACAGACTCAGGGAAGCCTGAAATACCCTTCATTCTCTAAGGTCTGGGTGGTTGCAGTGGCTGACTCCAGGGCCCCAACAAGAAGGCCAACAAGAGGAAGTGAACAGGGGCTCAAGCATCCTCCTCCCCTGAGAAAGAGGCCATGCTAGAAGGTGCTGGGGAGGTGGGCTGGACACAGTGAGGAAGTTACAGGCAGTACTCAACTGCTTTACAACTCCTTGAATTTAGTACTCAACATATTTTGATACAAAAATTTTGTCCCAGTACTCACCTTGCAAGCTCAAACTTGTGGATGTCAATTGCCTTGTGTCTCCTCACCACCTTTCCTGCCAAAATGGCTTGTTTGGTACTTGTTGCTTTCAGCACTTTCACTGTGCCTCACAGAATCAATTAATGGCGAGCAACAAGGTACTACTGTATTTGGCTGCTCTGGCTCATCCAGGCCCCACCAGTAAGACTCAGTACTGGGTAGTACCCTTCTTTTCCTCGGTTCATAGCTCTGCTTTTCCTCTAGCTAGAACATATGACTGACATTTGAAGAAAGGATTGGTATGTATCAGTCATTGATTGCACAGGCCTTAGAACATTCTCTTCCTTCATTCTTAGAACATTCTCCACCTCCAAAGCCAAAGCTCTCACTCCTCATTTGCCAACACAGCCGCTGCTGCCTGGCTCAACCCCTCAGCCCCATCTTTACCCTGAATCAGAAGAGAGTAGCCCAGCTGGTATTTCCCCTCTTGTCCCCACTCACTTCAGGGCAAATCCAGCCTCATCGGCCTCCCCAAGGTCCAAGGCTGCCGCCCCAGTGGACCCACAGAGAGTTGATCACAGAGACCACCCAGTCTGCTGCCCATCATGTTCTCCAGATTGGAGGACACAGCTTTGCTGGTTCAGGAACCTCTTTTGTGATTCTCCCTGTCATTCCTCATGCACTGCTTCTGCCAAATTTGTTTCTAAATCAAGAAGGAAGAAACAGAGATTGCTGCCAGCTTTTCTCTACTGGCCTTGAAGTCAACTTTTGGATTGGGGTACTGCAGAAAATTCCTCAGAACACTCTGTAGCCCATGTGAGCTCATCAGGCCAGGTGTCCTGGCCACTGCTGGCAAGGCCCACTCAACTCTGCACTCAGTCTTCTCCTGGGAAAACATATTTCCCTTCCCATCTTATGGAGCACTTAGGAATAGCTAGCTAGAGGTGAATGTACATAAAAGTGCTTTCAAACATAACACATGACAAACTACTCATTGTTTTTCTGATTACCCTAGTTACATAAAAAAGGAGCCCAAGGGGAAAAAAATAAGAACCAAGATACTCATGTAATGGTACAAGATCCCAATGATGAATGTAACTGTATTTTATACCTAAAATGTACCAATAAATTTAATGGGAAAAAAAAGGAGCCCAAAATTTATAAACTAAATTTTCAGTCCTTCAAAGTTGTGATTTCAAATATGCAAATATTTTAAAAATCTATGTGATTTTTACTAACAGTTATTATTTCACTAATGATGATCCCTGAATGAAAATCTATATATTATTGCAGAAAGAATTAAAATATTTACTCAGAAAGCTATCCTTTCATTAGAGTGCTGGAGACACGTTTCTTAGCAGGTTTTATCACCTGTACAGAGTTGTTTTTATGACTGCTTTGCAACATGTATGCTCTACCATTCTACTTTCTACTTTCGACTGGGACCAGTAGAAAAAGTGACATCTCTCTTAGTATTTTGAGCACGTGGAAGAAGCTGTGTGGGCTGTGGAAGTCCTAAAAGAACTGAGCAAGCCGGTGGCCGTGACCATGTGCATCGGCCCAGAAGGAGACATGCATGGGGTGACACCCGGAGGGTGTGCTGTGCAGCTGGCAAAAGCAGGTAGGTAATTTAGACCCATGGCATGAGGGGAGGTTCAGTGACTGTTTATTGGCCTTAATGATGTTTGCTTAATATTGTGAGATCAGTGAAAGAATAGAAAGAGAGTTAAAGAATTAACTGGAATCAATTATCTTTATCTATAAATCTTGGGGTAGCTAATGTCTCAGATAGCTTCTAACTTTTACAAAGAGAATAAACAGAGAGAGGATGAAATGTAAAAATCTGTCTCTCTGTCCAGGGGCTGACATCATTGGTGTGAACTGCAGATTTGGGCCCAGAACCAGCTTGCAGACGCTGCTCCTCATGAAGCAGGGCCTGAGGGCAGCGGGGCTGAGCCCCCACCTGATGGTACAGCCCCTGGGCTTCCACACGCCCGACTGTGGCAAAGGGGGCTTCGTGGACCTCCCAGAATATCCCTTTGGTGAGCACCAGCACAGAGAGAGAACCCTGTGTTTCTTGTGACAAAATGCAAATGGCTATGATAAACTACGGTACAGTTTTATAACATGACACTGCATAAGACAAAAGCATTCAGTGTTAACCAAACATGAGTTATCTGAATGCATAAAGTTGATAGTTCTTTAATTGGAAAGAATGTACTTAAAGATGGGGACAGTAATAGAAATGCTATAACTATCATATCACAGGACTGGAGCCCAGAGTAGCAACCAGATGGGATATTCAAAAATATGCCAGAGAGGCCTACAACCTAGGGGTCCGGTACATCGGCGGGTGCTGTGGGTTCGAGCCCTATCACATCAGGGCGATTTCGGAGGAGCTGGCGCCAGAAAGGGGATTTTTGCCACCTGCTTCAGAAAAACATGAAAGCTGGGGAAGTGCTCTCAATATGCACACCAAACCCTGGATTAGAGCAAGGTAGGAATTTTTAAACCAACATTTTAATTACTTTTATTTAATCTCATTACCATGTATATGGAAATGAAAATTTAAAAAGTATGGAAGTGGGTAAAATAAAAATAAGTCACCCCCTTCTGACACCAATCTCTTTCCCATTTTATTTTCATTTTATTTAGTCTCTTCAGGCTGCTATCACAAAATGCCATAAACTGGGTGCCTTATAAACAACAGAAATTTATTTCTTAAATTTCTGAAGGCTAGAAGTCCAAGGCAAGGTGCTGGCAGATGTGGTATTCTGGCCACTTTCTTGTATATAGTGACTTCTTACTGGGTCCTCTCATGGTGGAAGGGGCAAGGCTAGCTCTCTGGAGTCTTTTTCATGAAGGGAATTAATCCTATTCATGAGGGCTCTACCTCGTGATTTAATGACCTCTCAAAGACTCTACCTCCTCATTTAACCACACTGGTTTCAAAATATGAACTGGGGGCAGGATGGGGGGATGCACATTCAGATCACAACACAAAGGTGGCCTAATGGAAGCCTTGTACCTCTACTCCCTGTCTTCAATTTTAAGCATTAATTACTGATAATCCTTTATAAACGCTGAGGAATTTTAAATCACATACTCTTCCCTCTCTCCCCTTATTCTGCTTTTCCCAAATGTGATTCATTAAATATTTATTTCTTCTCTTAGTTATCTTTTTAAGTTAAAACATATATTTAGGTCTTCTAAGCTTCATTTATAGGTTGATTCTAAAAATGTAAAGCCAATGAATAACATTCACAATGTTATTATAATTTTCATACTAAACAGCAGCTCTCACGAAATAGAAGTCGGAACTCAAATTTAGGTTTGTCTCCCTCTCTCCCTTTCAATCTGCTCCGTGGGTGAGTTTCTTCTTTTGCCCTGTCTGAAAACACTGGCTTGCCCAGGACTTCCCCAAATATTCTCAGGCTACAGAAAGTCCTGTAATCATTTCACTCAGCAGACAGCCTCAATACCATGTACTATCAGAACTCAGAATGGGTTTTCAAACTTAACACTTTTTTTGTCCCGCAGAAACCTCCCCTGCCACCCTCCACCCCCTCATCCCCTGCCAGGAAGCCAGAGAGGGCAGCACGGTCCTGTCCCCTCTCTGCCTCCTCTTCCAACCCTTCCTTCCCATCTTGCTAGCCACAGCTTGGAGAAGGTGGGTGGTGTGGAAAGGTAGGTGACTGGCCCCTCAACAGAGACTGCCTTATTGGGCCTGGCAGGTCTCCACAAGAGGGGCTTCAGGGCCTTCTGGGGGAAACGTGGGCCTATTTTCTCCTGCCACACGCATTGTTCTGTGAATGCTGCTTCCTCTCCAGACTCCAGCTTTTTCAGCAGGCCACTCCAAATATACCTTATTTTGGGGTTCACACTCCTTCCTGCTGATTCTCTTGGGCCACATTTTATTTATTCATTTATTTTACTAGACAGAGATTGAACCCAGGGCCTTCACACTGAGCTGCATCCCCCAGCCCTTTTTTATTTATTATTTTGAGACAGAGTCTCACTAAGTTACCTGGGCTGAGTTTGAATTTGATTGCAGTCCTACCTCTGCCTCCCAGGGAGCTGGGTCACAGCCATGCCCTGGCACACCCAGCTGCAGGCCCGATTTTAGTGAGGTCCAGACTGGTCTCTCCTGCTTAGCAGGCTCACAGTGGCTTCTGTCCTTCCTTCAAGTAAACTGAAAATGTGGTCTGACCTCAACCGGACAGCATCCTCTTTGGTAATAAGCAAAGTAAAAGGGCCATTGTTCTCTTGTCTATATGTCAAGTCAGTCTCCTGTTCTGAGAGACCTACTTTGAAATTTGTCTATTTTACAGCTCCCTTTGATACCTGTTATCTATTATAGCTTGGTACTTCCTATAGAACTTCCTGTCTAATACTTGTTTCTTGAGTGATTTTCTAAGCATCCACTGCAGAACAAAATAGTGTGTCTGAGACAATGGAAGAGGAAAAATAATCCTGTTTTGCAAAACTTACACCACTTGCAGGAAAATGTTCCAAGCATTCAGTTCAAATGGATTTTCTTCCCTTACACTTCAGCCAGTGTGCAGATCTGCGCTGTATTTCAATTTGCTGCATACTGAGACTGACTTGGGACTTGTAAAACATTTGGTTTCCTAGGAATTTCTAATTAACTGCTTTTTCATTGTTGAAAGAACTAGGTCTTCACCTTTCCCAAGCTCTTCCATTTCCTAAATTATACTATTTGTTATAGTCAATAATTTTATCATTGAAGAAGTGGTTCTTAAGCCCCCTGAATTACTGTTCTGTTACGGCTCACTGTGTATCTCATACATGTTCTCACTATGTATATTTTGTATATTAAATCTGTCAATACAGTGCCATCTCTTGTCCATTTTCTAGAGACCAGATACAAACTCTGCATCTCCTATTTGCTGCTGTTAAGTATGCAATCCTATTTTACTTTTTTATTCATTTTACTGAGAATTGGAATGGTCTTCATTTTTTTTTCCCATTAAGTTTATTGGTACATTTTAGGTATACAATACAGTTACATTCGTCATTGGGATCTTGTACCATTACATGAGTCTCTTGGTTCTGATTTTTTTTCCCCATTCCCCTGCCCTCCCTTCACCCCCTCCACCCTTGCCTATTTGCAAAGACTTTGTTTCCATTCTTTTCCTTTTCTCATATTTTTTCTGTTCCCTTTTTTCCTTTCCCCTACCCCTCCCACTTGCCCTGCTCCTATAGACCTTTTCTTCCTATTACACAAT